CGACCAAAAATTTGATGTAATACAAAAACACAGCATCCAATTTTTCCAAGGGGTACCAGACAAAGACAATATCACAGAATGGTTTGGAGATACCCGACGTAGAATTTTAGTCTTGGATGATTTGATGGCAGATGGAGGAGACAATAAAGAAATTCTAAATTTGTTTACCCAATATTCTCACTACATGAATGTCACCGTATGTTATCTATGTCAAGCCATGTTCCCGCAAGGAAAATACGCCAAGACGATTTCTACAAATGCACAATACATCGTCGCATTTAAAAATGCGAGGGATAAAATAGGATTACGGAATTTACTGCTACAGATTAACCCTACGGATTGGTGTCAGGTGATAGATGTGTTTAATGCGTGTACGGACAGATCCTATGGATATTTGTGTTTTGACGTACACCCAGCCAGTAGAGATTTTATGAGACTTGTAAGCCACCTCTTAAAACACGAAGGGTGCATGCAGTGTTATCGATAAAAAGAGGTGTTGGGAGTGAAACCGCCTTATTTTAAGCGTCATGCCTCACCACAAGCGCAGTAGGTCTATGAGACGTAAAGGGAGAAGAACTTCCAGAAGAAGAAGGAAACAGAAAGGTGGCATCTTACCTTTAGCTGCCTTGCTTCCTGCACTTATTGCCAGAGGTAAAGCAGTTGGTTTAGGAGCCTTGGGAGGAGCTGCTTCGTTCGGAGCTAAAAAAAGATCAGATGCCATTACCAAGAGAAAGCGTTAAAGGATGGAAAACATGAAGAGAAATTTTGATTTTTTAAAATCTATCATACGAGAAAAAAACAGCAATTGTCGTAAAGAAAATATCTTTAAGGCAAGTAAATATCAAATAAATGCTGCCAATGAATGGATCATGAACATGTTAAAGAAGAGAACCCCGTTATAACCACTGACTGTGGCCAAACTTAAAAAATATAGCAACGTGTTACGGGAAGTGGCGAAGTGAGCCAACTCGTTAAAAAAGTGTTGCATGACATTGGCCAGTCAAACAGGTGGTGCCTTTTGGCGTGGAATGAATGAGGCTTTCTGTCAGTGTATAAAATGACTGGTGTGCAAGAGGGTATAGAGGACGTGGACTCTGGTATAAAGTTTCTCTTGGAATTTAGCGACAGTAAAGACACTCGAGAAGGACCTCAGTGTACTTGGATACAAGTGTTGCGCTGGTTGCGTATACGCGTGATTGTACCTCTACTAAAATTATGGAAAAGATGTTGATGGTGAAACCTGAAGAATTTTGGGCATTGGTGGATTATTATAAGGGAAAAATTACCGAGGGTATCTTGTTAGATAAAGCAGCACGTGTGACCATGGAAGCGCAGCTTCTCTTACAAGATCCTACAACACATGCAGGTTTAAAAGAACCGGTGGTCAAACAATTATTGATGAAAGAGCAAAATTGACCAATAATTGAGGCATATGTTAGATTTGATACAAGATGGTCTCACCTTACCGAAAGTCTCTACGTCTATTCCTCTTTGGGAGCACCTGTGGTCATTAGGACCCAAATAACAGATTTGATACCACACACCCCTTATCACTCCAAGTCGGGTGGAAGTTTTCTCTAAGCACCACCCCAAATTCATTATTTAGCCTTACGCAACAATCATTAAGATGTGATGTAAACTCAAATGAGCGAGTCTGACACAAACGAGTTGACTTGGGTTGATGACAGTGCTTCCATAGTAACACTTCATTTTCGCAGAGTACGATCACGAGTGATTTTTACTTGCCGTTACCTTGCAATGATGGAAGTATCAAATATTTTCCAAACTACAAAAACAATTAATGGAAAAATAGATTGGAGAAACGTATGGATTTGGAAGATGAATGTGAAGTAGGCTTAAGCAGCATCTCTTTATCTCACAAGTTGCTTTTACTACCTTACCTGGAAGCACTCTCAGATGATGCTTTTGTGATGAGAACAAAACAAGTCGTGTACAGTACAACCAGTAAAACAGTCGACACCTTGACCATGAATGTGTATTATCGGGATACAAAAAACTGGCGTATGGAAACTGCCTACTAAGCATTTACCTGGAAAAGAACAAATGCAATTTGAAGTCACCTACAATGATGCACGTGAAATGGTCACAGTGTCTACTGATACCATCGATGCTACAAAGGTTCCCCATGCTACCATGCGAGATTCTGTATAAGTGTTTATACAGGAGGATCTATGCACCTTGTTTAGTTGGGTGGAAGATGTGACGTATTCCTCGGTAAATACAGTCAAAAATGGCCCGAATCTTGTGACAAAAAAACAGGGAACTAAATACACAGAAGCTATAGATAATGCACTGTTCTATTGTAGAAGATGGCAACTCAGTCAATGGACATTAACAGTGGATTCTACTCCTGTTCCTGGTGTAATATTCTGGATGCATGAATTAAACTGGATCTTTATCCATACAAAATGGTGCACCTACAAGAATGGTAGTGTGCCTCGCACACTCTATCTCTATTCCTCCATATGCGATCCTGTACACATGGGGGATCAGATGACTGTTTTGTTTCGTCAAATTCATCACCAACCTATGTTAGCAGGGCAAGATTACCAAGAACCGTGTCAAATTCACTACATTCAATTACGTAACAATCACATTGATGACGTGGAAACCCAGATAAGTGAATCAGAAAACAACTCACTAGCACAGTTTGCTACAGACAGCCTTAGTATTCTAACACTCCATCTTCACAGAGTACAATCATAAGTGACATAGAAAAAGTAGGAGTGGCCAGAGGCCGCCCTTCTGAAAGAGAGGAGAGGCCCGGAAGAAAGGAGAGGCACAGAAGAAAGGGGGAGGACAATAGGATGATCCAAGAAGTACAGAGTATAATAAAAGAGATGGATTAAAGAACTCAATTTCTTAAAAAATGGAACGATAATTTAACGTGAGAGTTCAAGTGTTGGTCTATGTCAATTGTGTTTAAGACGTCGAGGAGAGGTGATGTTAGCCAAATGGAGATGCTATTACACGAGTCAAACAGATCTATTTTCTGGATGAAGCGACATTGATGTTTGAGGGGATTCAAGCATTACACACACTCTCTCACAAAAAACCATGTAAAATAGTTAAGAAAACTGTCACTTAAATGAAAGTGAAAAAATGGTTTTCTTTTTAAAACAGCAGCCTATTCATATTTCTTAGATCGGTCTCTTCCATGCTTTAAAATCCCTAGGGGTAGGATTTGAACAAGTAGGTCTCGTCTAAAGCTCTTTTATCAAACACCAGGCCATACTTTTTGACTTGAGTTTCTGTCCTTATCCATTTGGTTTTCACATCCCTGGTAAATTTAGGTTGAGCCACCATCGTGTTTCTTTGTTCTTCTAAAGGGTTTCTGATTTCGTTCAGAATGTTTTGTTTCATGACTTGGTAGTTTAACTGTTCCCTGCCCGCTCACGTTCATTGAGAATCCTTTTACTCTGCATTCTACCTTGCCCTTCCTGGTTGTGTAGTCATAATTCTTGCCTCCTGCTGAAATAAACTCTACAATATAGTCGTCTTCATCCAACTCATTTGTCATTTGCCCCAGATGGTCTCCTTATTCAATTTCTACTAGACTGGGTTTCCAGGAATGGATGAAAGAGTCTGTATCATAATTCAAGACTATGTCGTCTAATTTCTCAAGGGATTCATAGAGCTTCAATGGTGCTTGGCAGTTCGTAAAGGCTGCTTTGAAGATGTTGTTTTTAACCCTTTGACAGCATCTTCATCTATTTTCCTGTACGCCACTTCGACCACTTCTGAATTGAGGAATCATATGTCGCTGATCTCTACTATCTTTTTATGGACCACATCCAATAACTGGTAGGCAGGACATTTTAAATGTGACTATCTGGAACAACCAGAACCTCTTGATTAACAAGAAATCAATATACAACAAGAGAATAAAAGAAGCAGGTTTTGTGAAACTTGGAGATATTCTCTCAAATGACTCAAAATTAAAAAGGTGGGACGCTTTTAGAGAGAAAAATCGCTCCTTGTCAGATTACTTACTCCTACAAGGCATTTTTTCCGCCATTCCGCCTAACTGGAAACAGCTCCTTAACGTTGGAAAGAATAATAACAACCGAATTGACAAAACTGTTTCAGACGATGTTCAAGATATAACTAGAATGACTTCAAAATCAATCTATTCCACCCTGGTCAAACGAAAGATTTCTCCGACTGCCCAATCTAAGTTTAATTCCGTATATAATATTTCAGGTAATATAGACTGGAAAAATATTTATCTATTGCCGGGTCGAGTCACTCTTGACACCAGAACGAGAGCCTTTCAATACAAAATCTTAAATCGTATTCTCTACACCAATAAAATCCTATATAAAATGAATTTGGTTCCTTCTTCAAGAGAAACTCTTGAGCATCTTCTAATCAGCTGTACCTACACTAGAAACTTTTGGCTTTCGGTTATTTCTTGGTTAAATACTTACAATATGAAAATTGATAAGCTTGATGAGGTAACAATCCTCTTTGGTATTTCCGATAATAACCCTGGGAATTGTTTGTTAAATCACATAATCATTCTTGGAAAATATACCATTTATTCATGTCGTTGTAAAAATATCAAGCCGTCTGTATCCTTACTGAAGGCTAAAACATCTGAAACTCGGAAATTTGAATTTTTGATTGCAAAAAAGAATAAAAAAGAATCTATTCATTATAAAAAATGGGAAAACATGTTATTGTAACTCAATAGATGAGTATCGGGTATTAACAGTTATAGACGCAGTTGTATATACAGTCGTTCTACCAAAAAAGGAATTTGATATAGAAGTATTTGTACAAATTAGGTTTATATTATTATATAACCACAACATAAATTAAATCTAGCCGACTGTGAATGTAATGTAACGCAGTATTTCGTAATTAGTGTTAGTGAGTAGCGTAAGCGTTAGTGTAATTAACTTTGTATTTGTTTGTATTACTCTAGTATTTGTGCTTTAAGTGAAAATAAAAAAAATAAATAAATAAAAAAATAAATAAATAAATAAAAAAAATAACTGGTGGGCTTTGGTGTACTTTTGCAGTTGCAATTTGTTGACTTGCTCCCCAAACTTTCCTCAGAAACTGTTTAGCATCAATTTGGCAGTTACCTTTCTCCCTAGATTCTTTTCGATCTTTTCCATATCCAATGCAATACCTTCTCGCTCGTTATACAATCTCACATACTCTCATTTCTTTTCATCTGTATCTGCCCACCTAAGATAGTCAGTCAGCTACTTTCTTGCTTCAACTTTAACGATGTGTTTACATATCCTTCAAATAACCCCGTTTGTGATTCTGGAAAATGCCACACCTCATGTATAAGTATGAGCCGATAGCTCATGGCCAACACCTTCATGATTTCTGGGGAGCACCACGTACCAGTGAGCATTCTTTTTCATCACTATGATGACAGTATTAAAATCGTTCTGTACAATCCTTTCCATAAAAATCAAAGAAGGGATCACCGTCTTCAGTAGTTTG